CTTTTTGGAATACGAAACGACGTGCGCTCGTACCACGCAGGATCACGACTAATCAAGCACCATAGTCGATCCTCCACCCTTAATTTCGAAAAATCCTTGACCCAAACATTGACACCTAAACCGACGTCTTCACCTAGACCCCCCCAAATACCATCTACAGAGCACACATACCCACAAATAGGACCTATACATAGACATAGACCACTTTTAAGTGTGATTAGGGGTTCGGGTATAGAGGTCCAAGCCTAAACCCCAGGCCTTAAACCCTAAACCTTGAAACCTCAAACCCAAACCCTCAACCCTAAACCTTGAACCCTCAACCCTGAACCCTAAACCAGCTGAAACTGCCAATCCTTGCTCGAGGTGATTCGTTCTGAGGGTGAAGCTGAGGCAGCGAAGATGATCTCAGAGGCGAGCATGCAAGGTTTAGGGTGGATTGGAAGGCATTCTCTTTGTTTTGTAGGTTTCGGCCAGTGTTCTACGTACTTCAAAGGTCCAGGTACTGTCTAGGGTTGTGTTTTCTATTCTTTGCGCATGGGCATTCTGTAGCGTGAGGGGGCTGTCATCCGCATGTCGGACTTACGTTGAAGTGGGGCCCGTTCCCCTCAGAACGTTCACATGCCCCTCCCGCACCCAAACCCGTTAGCTCCCAAGCCTCCAAAACTGGTTGTTATTGAAGAACATTTTGATGCATATTGATGCCTATCTAAACGTAACAAAGCTTCACTGCAGAATGATCTTGATCTCGTGATCTCGCCCTCAACAATGTTTTCTGAAAAGCCTGAACCCCAATGCCTTGGATCCATACTTGGACGAGCTCTTGACTTAGTAAGACTCCTTAGCAACAGGGGTTATGGGGCTTAGAATAGGTCGACAGGAGTTATTGGGGATACTAGGTAGACTTACCAAGTTATAAGATCATTCAAGTAGCGACCTTGGGGTGCGTAAGGCTGCGGGGCCTCAGGGGACATGAGCCATTAGCATTTTTTTACGCCTGACGTAGCCGTATCTAGGTCTTGTTTAGGGAATGCAGCCCCCCCAAAAGCCCTTCCCCCTAAACCTTAAACCTTTACCCCTGAACCCCCAACCCTAGACCCTTAACCCTAAAGCCTAAACCTAAATCCTAAACTGCAAACCTACACATCTGCCTTAAAAGCCTTAGCTCCCCCTGATGGATGGCAGGCTCTGAAAGAGCACGGGTCCGGCTTGATTGAGGTGCATTGGGACACCCCAACTACATAGGGTTTAGGGTTAAGGGTTCAGGTTTTTTTGGCTTTCGGATTTAGGGGTGTAGGG